TCGGTTTGATTTGCATATATAAATATTTGCCCTTACCCCTTTCTATCACATCTCTCTTAACTTTCCTATGGGGAAAAGAACCCATAAAAGCTGCTTATAAAATATTATGTACTGTGCTGATCTGCACACATGTACCACATGTACATGGACTAAGATTGCCTGTATGCAAAAGAAGGCTGAAATACTGATACTGTGATCAAGTTATGGCGGACTGGATCACCTATTTTTTGACACAGGATCCCTTTGGTAGTGACATCCTCAGCTGTGTGGAGTCCTATCTTTTCTATCCTCTCAGGATCTCTGTGGTTTGTGATTTCCCCTGAGTAGGCAGGAGACACCAGCATTAAAGTATCTTGCATTTTTCTCTGGAAGTATGGTAAGCCCAAGAAAAAAGACTCCCACTTTATGTGTGAGTCCAGGAATGCCTCTCATGTAGAACACTGGAGAGAATATAAATTATGCATGGTGAATATGAAGTTTAGTTTTGGCTTCTGTCTTTTCTCCATTTCTCTTTTCAGTTGTTCATGATAGCTTAAATTTTCCGTATTTTTGTCTCAACCCACACTCAAATTTTTTCCTTTGGGGAAAACTGGAGCAAAATCAATTTCAGTGCAATTTTTCAAGACTCCTTGACTTGCACTTACATCTGTTTGGTGTGGGGGAGTGGAATTTTATCATAAAACGTTTGATTTATTTAATGTATTCAATAAGCATCGAAGATGTGCCAGGTACTTTCTCAGCCCTTTTGGATGGGAAATCTTGCAAGCTAAGAACTTAATAAACAAAGAAGTTCCAGAACTCAAAATTTCCCTGCTGTTAAGGTCTCCATATATCTAAGGAATAAACAAGGTTTGAACAAAGCAGATCCTAAGACTTGTAAAGTACAAAATGTCACAGACAGTACTGATGAGATCTGTAATTGAAACAACACCTATTTTTTTAAACATATTTCCTGAACCTGTTATCTGCCCAACTTAAAATCAGCTGAGATGTGCTCATGCAGGAGCTCTACTTTCATTGCAACTGTGAGTCTGTTTCTGTTGGTGAAGCTGCTCTTATGGGTGTGTGATGCTGCACCAAGGGCTCATCTAAACAGGGTCATTGATTGAGACCAAGGTAAGTTACAAATTGAATGGAGGAGCTATTCTCAGTTAACTTCATCATCCTAATGAAGAGGCCATTTGGAATAGTTAATAAGGAATAGCTGTTCTGGAATAATCCCCTTTTAAGACAAACCCTCACTGTTTCTATAATTGCATTCCAGGAAGCTATTCTGTTCTGAATCAGCATGGGATAGAGTGCCTAGAAGACGTTCAGACCAAGCACAGCTAGCGGTGAGTGGGCAATACACACCGGGATGCCCTATTGCAGCCATTCCAAGTGAGCAGCAGAATAGCCTAACTGGTTGTCTGTACATCTCTCTAAAAGGCAACTGAAAGTAAATATGAAAATCATGGTACAAAGGCCTCTGTCTTAGCAGGGATGAAGTCTGAGCTGCCTGTTGCTGTCTGAGCATTAGCCTGGTGTTACGGACAGAATGCATGTCTCAACCCGTAACTGATCACAACTTGATTAAATGTTGGGGTGTGGAAAGGACTTGTGTGCTTTTTCCCAATGTGTATATTTACATCATTATGTGGGAGCAATCAATTTATCAAACCCATCAGATTATTCAATAGTGGGGAAAGACAATTGGTTGGAAGAACATGTGTATTGTTTTTAAGGTGGATAGAAAATTGGTTTAAAAGAAATTCACACAATCCCTTTCTTTTGAGGAAAACCTACACTAACAAACTAATCAAGGTAAGGGAAATTCAGTAATTTATAATTGCCAATAATTTAAAATGCCATGAAAATTTTCCTGCAGCATAAAATTTTGTGCTTTTCCTTGCCAAGGAGGATGGGCTGGAGCAGAGGTGGTGCTCTTGTGCTTCAGTACATTGTAGTTGTGATATAGCTGCTGTTAATTCATGGTTCTCTTGACTTTTGGAATTCCTCCATTCCCTTAAAAGGGAAGGTGGCAGCCTGGAGTGGAGAAGCTCCAACTGCAGCCCTCTGGATGTTAATCCACCCCGACTTTCTTAAGCCTCCTACTTAAATCATTATCTTAATGAATCACCATTGCTGCTGTCTTCAGTGCTACACAGGAACATGCAAATTTTAAACAGCCTGGGGGAAAGTCCTTTTTGTCTGTAAAGTGCTCTGATACTTGCATTTAGATGTTACCATGATAGGTACCTTGGATACCACTTTCTGCCTAAGCCCTTGGATAGATCCTGGGGTGTAGCTCTCCCCAGGGCCTGCTGGGCAGCTCTGAAAAGGGATGGATGTGATGATTCTGCTACTGACTGGGAGCAGCAGCTTGAGCTCAGGTGGTTGAAGCCAGATCACTCCACCATTGTCCTTCAGCGGAGGGCCTCTTGCCTGTGTTTTCCTGTAGCTTCAGGATGGCAAGGAGATAGGGGTGTGAGGATGAGAGTCCCTCCTTAGCTCTGCAATTGCCATTTTTACTTCAGGCAAGTTTCTTCGTCTCTTCACTTGAATTTTTTTCACAGCTAAAAGAAGCCATGAAAATGTTCATGGATCAACTACACTTTCTCCCAAGTACGTATCAAGGAATTTGATACAATAGGAAAATTACCAGCTTGCTAGAAAAACATTTGTTTAAGGAAAAACTGAACATAGTGAAGCCACTGCAGGCTGTGTCCAAGACTTTCAACATTGTGTTGTCCAAATTTTTCCTTGATGATTCAATTTGGCTACACATTGAGCTCTGCCCACTTCAGCTCTCCCAGCTGATCACTTGAGAAATCTTTACTTGTACATAGTGGATACGGAAAGAGAGCATGTATAGCTGTTTCAGATGGCAAATCTTTGTGGTTATTTACAACATGTATTGAAAGATTTGATTCCTTTATTCATTAAACCAAGAGCTGGAGAAGCTGTTTCATGCAAATGTCCTAGATGATAAGAATACCCTTCTCAAATTGCAAAGTCAATTCATGCATTGTCCCTTTTCTGAGACTTAGAAGTAGAGTCCATTCCCTTACTATGGGTGACTTTTCCTCACTAGTAGTAGTTCTGCTTCTGGAGCAATGGCAGGATAAACGTGGAAGACACCAGCTGAACAGAGATCCTTTAGTTTCAGCTAGGAGAAGACCTTATTAACAGAACTGAGCTTAAATGCATTTTCTGTGATAACATTATCAGTTGTCAATTCCTTTTTGGAGAGTTATGCCCACAAGAGACCAGAACATTTATCTCAAGGAGCGCATCCTCATTCCCTCATTCTTCTCAGTCGGATATTCTATGAAACAAGTTCAACTGGAGCTGGATATTTTCATGCTGAGAAGAATGCAGCTTCTCAGTTGGTTACCAAAGAAAGGAGATAGGAACAAACAGTACATGCTGACTTTTTGTAGCTCAAAGCCTTGACAGGTGTCCAGGTGTAAGGCAGGAGATATGATCTGCCTCCTCACCTGTTTGTGCACTCCTTTCTGGTGAACAGCAAAGAACTGGCTCTGTGACTCAAGTGACTCAAACTTTTTTCCCTGCTTGGTGTAGCTCTGAACAGACTGACACTTTCTTGTCATAGTGTTTAAGGCACTCTTTGCAAACTGCTTCACAGTGATAACCTTTCTGCTTACTGTGAGCAGGCTGTTGTGTTCTCTGTGTTCAAGCTCCTGGCTGGTTCTGATCCCTCATGGGACAGCAGCAATTTATAATACAGGGGCTTAATGAACTGGGGAACCATCTTTCAGATTCAGCACCATGAGAAGTGTCAGAGTAGGGATTTCAGAAGAAATATCAGAAGGGAGCTGTACATGTGTTTATAAATGTGTGTGTATATTGTGCATATCTTTCAAAGGAGAAAATAGAGATGACTGACATTTGAAGCTGAGTGCAAAACTTAAACACAACTTTTTTTTCTTTCCAGTCTTGGAAAGTTATGGTGATGGGTGTGGGCAGGTCTCTGGCTGACTTTCTGAATTGCCTTTATGTCAGAACTCCAACAAGAGATTTGGTGCAATTTCTCATCCTATTGAGTAAAAGGATGTTCTATCCCACATAGTTTGCTTAGGAAACTGAAGGAAAGGAATTCTTCTTCACAGATCTTAACACACCCGGTGTATTTTGCAGGCACTATGTGCAAAATACTCAGTAAATGAGAGATCCGAAAGGAATGTTTCAGTATGCTGAACTGGATTACTTTATTCCCCCAGCCTTTGCACAGTCTTATGCTCGTGGGTAGTTGTAGATTTTTGTCAATGTACAAAGGTTGTTATTTCTATAGTTACCTCATTCAAATTCAGAGGTTTGTAACTGGAATTAAAATGTGTTTGTGCTATTATTTTGTTCATCTGTTTTGAGCTGCTGTTGTTAACTGCTTGTTCATAAGACTCTGTTTGCTCAAAGTACCTGCTCGGTTTTCTGGTCGGGTATGCTGAGATTCAGTATTTCAGTTTATAACTTTGCTTTTTGTTATTTTTCTCCTGATGTGTTACAACTGCCTGCCAGAAATTCTGAAACTGTGGTCAAACAAACTGCTCAGATGTTTCCTCCCAGTGTTTGCTAATTCAGCAGCACTTGAGCTGTTTATAAGAAGCACAGAGAAACCGCAGCTGAGGACTGTGAATGGCAATGCTGTGTGAACAAGTGATGCACACAGCACTGCACAGGTAGAGGGGTTTTAATCTGCAAGCATATCTGTCATTAATTTTAAGGCCTTTAGGAACCATGGTAGCTCAGCTAAGAGAGGGGAGATAAGCCAAGCAATTATATGGAGCAGCTCTGTTTGGTGAAGCACATCTTTTGGGATTAGCAGGGGCTCATGAGGCAGGGTAGTGATTTGTGCATTGCACTGCCAAGTCTGACTGATCCTTCGGGACAGTCACTGTTATGTGGGGCCTCCTGGCAAATTTCTTAAGACTGGGATATTGGCTGGGACAAGACTGAGAAAGTTTCCTTGGTTTGTCAATATAGACTTTAATGCAACAATGCCCCCACTGCTTGCTGGGGAGAACCCTGTCCTTTCTGCTTCTCTGCTTTGTGGACCTTCTTGCTGGGTGTACAGGTGAAAGAAAGTAGCCATGAGCTTTGAGTGAGTGCAAACTGCTGTGCTTTTGGGAAGACTTAGAAAAATGGCAGGGATTTGAAAGCTGAGATTTTGACTGACTTGAATTGGGTAAAAAATTTGAGAGAACTCTGGCAGCAGTTGTACGGAGAAGAAAAATGTCACCTGTTACCTCAGCAGACTACTTAAGAGCACTCTGAAGTGAGTCCCCAGAAAATTCTTGCAGAGAGACGAATGGGCAGCTGGGAGGAAATGCTATACTCCCTGAAGAAACAACAAACTCTGGGTGTTTACCCAAGCTGGTAAACCAAACAGAAACCATCAGTGTGCTGCTGGGTGAATCCGTGGTGTGCCAGTGTCTTAGGCACTGTGCAGTTCTAATCACCACCTTCAAAGGCAGTGGAGGGCTAGGGAAGGTCCAGAGAAAAAAGTCAGTCCCTGTGATTTCTCTTTGCCATAGAGAAGAAATGACTTATTACAGAAATTGCAGATGTGTTGTATTGTCATGAATGGGAAGGGAAGTAGGGAGTGATCCTTCACAGTTCCTGTGTTTGCTAAATTGATTCAAAGCAGGCAAAGAGGAGGCACTCTGTCAAGCAGCAGTTACCACGTGAAACTCATTGCCACAGGGTGTTATGGATAGCAGAAGTCTAAACAGATTGAAAAATCGATGAAGGACAGATAAGTTCTTATTAAAAGTGATGGCCTGGATGCAACCTCTGGATCAGGAGATCTTTAACAATTGCACAGGGTGTAAGAAGGAAAAAGACTGCCTGTATTCTATGTCATTGCTTTTCCTCCCTCTCTGCCATCCCTCACTTTTTTTTTTTTTTCTTTTTGGCCCTATTCTGGCTACTGCTGAAGAATAGAGAGAGATAGACCTTTGCTCTTATAACTTGGCTATTTTTATAGGTGAAAACTGGAAAGGAAACCAGCTACCCTGCCGTGCAGGGAAGTAGTTTTGCCTTGCAGCCCACAAGTAATATAAAGCACACTGAAATGAAGAGATTAGGAGTCAAATGCCCAAAAATGTATATGTGTTATAAAATGCCTCTGTAGCTGGCATCTTTTTTTAAATTCTGAGTTAACAGGAAGCTGAGCTTGTTGATGAAGTGTAAGTAACTACAATGTTTCCAGTTACTTTTTACACTTTCTCCTCTCGGTGCTGCAGTCACTGATAATGCACCTAGTGACCTGGACATTTTTAAGTCGCCTAGCTGTGACACCTTAGGTTGGAAGCTGAGGATGGCTGCCTTCCAC